TACCCCCTCCTCTGGGGTCTGCAGTGAGAAAGCGGGAAATGAGAGCCTCAGAGAAAGAGCAGGAGCCTTCCCTGGAGGCAGCTGAGAGCTTGAGAGGAAATCCCTGAGCCCAACAGGAAGGCCCTTCCCTCCCCACCTCCCTCTGCCCCTGCTCCTGGGGCTTCTCTCTGTGCTGTGGGTCCTGTGCGTCCCCTGGTGTTCTGAGTGCCCCTTGCAATCTAGACTTGCTGTCTTCTCACGAAGGTTTGTGTCTGGGCTCACACTGACTTCCCCTCACTGTGTCTCTCACACATTAATACACAGCCGTGTCCTCCACTCTCAGGCTGCTCATTTGCAGATACAGCGAGTTCTTGGCGTTGTCCCTGGAGATGGTGAAGTTGCCCTTCACAGAGTCTGTGTAGTATGTTCTACCATCACTACCACCATTAATGTCTGGGACCCACTCCAGCCCCTTCCCTGGAGCCTGGCGGACCCAGCTCATCCAGTAGCTACTGAAGGAGAATCCAGAGGCTGCACAGGAGTGTCTCAGAGACCCCCCAGGCCGCACCAGGCCTCCCCCAGACTCCACCAGCTGCACCTCACACTGGACACCTGCAAACACAGAGACACAAGGTGGACTGAGAATCACATGGAAGCACCAACAAGCAAAGGCACAGGTCTCAGTGCTCCCCACTCCTGAGAACGACCTTGAGAAATGATCAGGAGGAAAACGCAGCTTGGCACCAAGTCCATGGTGGAGCCGCTGGGGTCCTGTCTCAGGTGCTTGGATTCTGGGTGTCTCCCCAACATGCCAGGCAAGGGCCCCCTTTATGAGCAGGAGGAGAGCCCCATTTGCATGGAGTCTGCATATAAGGTCCAGCTGGGACTCTGGGCTGCATGCCTGACCTTGTCATGGGAAAGGACTCAAGGACGCTGGCTACAAGGTGTCCTGTCCTGACCCCCTCCTCCCTCCTTTCCTGAGACCTGCCACCCTGACCTCATTCCTTTGGGGGCAGCTTCCAGGATTGAGTGTCCTACTTCCTTGGGGTTTTGATGAGGACCCAGCGGTGCTCCCCCAGAGGCATGTGGATGGGGCTTCCTCTCTCTCCCCTCCCCCCGCCGTGGGCCATGTCAACTCGGGGTTTTGGGAATAAGAATTTGCATTGGGTGATGCTTTTATTTTGAGACTGAAAGATTCTCCTTGCTTTTGTCCTCTATCACATCTTTCAAACATGAATAAGGAATCTGACAATGCATGGTTCCTGCTGCCTGTCACTCCTTGAGGAAAATAGGCAGAGGCATGGGTGAATCATATATGGGCATTCATTCCAATGCTGTGGGCAATGTGGGTGAGCAGCGGGTCATCCACAAAAACCTGCTCTGCAGCCCCCATAAACCAGCTGCTTATGTTGAGTGAAAGGATAGAAGATTACGTGAGAAGTAAGCAAAGGCTATGCCAAAGGGGCAGGTGACAGGGAGCAGAGGGCTGCGACCTTCAAGGGCTGGTGGGCTGGTTCCTGCAGGAAAGTTGTTCATCTCCAGGATGATTGGCTGCTCCAAATGGAGAGGAGGGACTGCACATCCAGGTGAGCTCCCAGGTCCCCAGTTTGGCTGCCAGCCAGGCTAGAAGGTGCCTTCTCCAATCAGAATAAACAATCACGGTGAACAGAGCAGGATGACTATGTCATACAATTCTAGCCGGTTCCCCCACATTCTATTCCTGCCCCTATAAAAACTCGAACCTCTACATGTGACGAGGCAGGAGAAGCTGGGCTGGACACTGTGCCTGCAGCCTCCGTCTCTAATGTGCTATCCCTGCCACAAGCACACAGCTGCCTCCCCAAACAACAGATTTCACTCAACTTCCTGCTGTTCATGTGCAAAAGTCCTGTTTCCCAGCATCTTCTATTGGGGGAATTTCCATCATTTACAAACAGATACCTGGCAGGTTTGGGGGCTGTCTGGTTGGAGGGGATCAATGGGGGATAACGGGGTATATGTGATACTTTCAAGAATAAAAAAATGTTAAAAAGAAATAAATGAAATAACTAATTAATTTTTGAAATCGAGTCCTGGCCCTGGCTGGTTTGACTCAGTGTATAGAGTGTTGGCTTTTGAACCAAAGGTTCTCAGTTTGATTCAAGGGCACCTACCTGGGTTGCAAGCTCCTCCCTGGCCCTTGCCCTGGTTAGGTCACCTGCAGGAGGCAACCAGTTGATGTGTTTCTCTCACATCAATGTTTCTCTCTTCCCCTCCCTCCCTTCCAGTCTCTCTCTTAGAAGCAATGGAAAAAATATCCTTGGTTGAGGATAAAAAAAGATTGAAAAGGAATACGTTTGTCTTGAAAATAATATCCTGGGTAGAGAGTTGAGGCACCACGTCGTCCTTGGGGGCAGGTGAGCACCTCCCTTCTCAGAGGAGAGCAGCCACCTGTGTCCATCCTCCCACAGCCCCAGGTGAGGACAGACAGACACAGGAATCTGGGACTGTGGCCACTTGTTCCTCTGGGAAGTTGGCCACCACCACTTGGAAAGTGCAATCACGCTGGGGAGGGGGTGGGGCATGGGCAGGTCAAACACCACAAAGCCTTTCTTGTCTCTTTCTCTTCATTTGTTATTCTTATTTTAAAACTAGAGGCTCTGTGCACAAAAATTTGTGTACTCGGGGTGGGGGGGTCCCTCAATCCAGCCTATGCCCTCTTGCAGTATGGGACCCCTCAGGAGATGTCCACCTGCTGGCTTAGGCCCACTCCCAGGGGGATCGGGCCTAAGCTGGCAGTCAGACATCCCTCTGGCAGCCCAGCAGCCCTTGGGGGATGTCCACTTGCCAGCAGGGAGCAGGCCTAAGCTGCAGTCGGACATCCTTAGCGCTGCTGAGAAGGTGGGAGAGGCTCCTGCCACTACTGCTGTGTTGGCAGCCGTCAGCCTGGCTTGTGGCTGAGCAGAGTTCCCCCTGTGGGAGTGCACTGACCACTAGGGGACAGCTCCTGCATTGAACGTCTGCCCCCTGGTGGTCAATGTGTGTCATAGTGACCAGTCATTCTCAGTGGTTCTGCTATTAGGGTCAATTTGCATATTACCCTTTTATTATATAAGATAGAGGCCTGGTGCATGGTAGGGGGTCGGTTGGTTTGCCCTGAAGGGTGTCCCAGATCAGGGTGGGGGTCCTGATGGGGTGCCTGGAACCCTGGGTGAGGGACTGAGGGTCGTTTTAAGGCTGCCCACAGCCCCTTCAGGATGGGGTTCCTGATGGGGTGCTTGGCCAGCCTTGGTTAGGGGCTGATGGCCTTTTTCAGACTGGCCATGCCCCCCAGCATCCCAAGCTCTCAGTCTCTCCTTTTTTTATTTTTTTTTCTGGGATTTATTTATCTTCTATAATTGAAACTTTGTAGCTTTGAACAGAGCCCAGGACCAGCCAGGGTAAGTGGGAAGCTTGGCTTCCTCCATCGCCGGGGGCAAGCCAAGCCTCCTGCTCACTCCAGCTCCATGGCTGCCTGCCATCTTAGTTGGGTTAATTTGCATACTTGCTCCTGATAGGCTTGTGGGTGTGGCTTGTGGCATGGCTTGAGCATAGCAGAGGGATGGTTAATTTGCATGTTTCCCTTTTATTAGATAGGATATATTTTTATTGATTTCAGAGAGGAAAGGAGGGGTAACAGAGATAGAAACATCAGTGATGAGAGAGAATCATCAATTCGTTGCCTTTGCCACGCCCCCTACTGGGGGTCCAGGCAGTAGCCCAGGCAAGTGCCCTGACCAGGATTCCAACCCTGACCTCTTGGTTCATAGGTCGAAGCTCAACCAATGAGCAACACCTGGTGGGCTCTGGGGTTACCTCTTACCATTTCTTTCTTTCCTTCCTTCTTTCTTTCTTATTTTTTTAATAAATAAGAATCCTTTATTCAATTAGTTTTGTGAATCCTCACCCGAGGATATTTCCCACTTATTTATAGAGAAAGAGGAAGGGAGAGGAGAGGGAGAGAGCCAACAGAGACATATTGTGTAGTTGCCTCTTGCAGGCAGGGATGGAGCTTGCAATGGAGGTTTGTGCTTTTAACAGGATTCAAACCTGAGATCCTTGAGTCCCCAGGCTGATGCTCTATCCACTGAACAACATGGGCAGGGCCCCTCCCCCATGTCTAGTTAACACTGTGGAGGCCCCACACCTCATGCAGGCAGCCAGGGTCCTGCCCTGTGGACCAGTAGACCTGGGGGTTGTGTGTGTTGCTGGGAGGAGGGGAACTAGGATGGAGAGGCCCCCAGAAGGGCAGCCCCAGGTGCCAGGACACAGGGGTGCATGGGGAGCTGGGCTGGAACCTCTCTCCAGAGACTTCAAGATGAAGAACCACCCAGACCCCCTCTCCTGCAGCGGATGCTGGGCCTCACTGTGGGGGACCCGCCTGAGCCAGCTGGTCAGGCCCTGTGAGGCTGAGGGAAACACAAACCTAAATGAGGAAAAAGTCCGTTTTCCCAGGTGCCAGGAAGAGACAGGGACTCCTTCCCTCCCTCCCTTCAACACGCATGTAGGTTTCAGTGTCAGTTTAAAGGCTCACTGAGGCCTCCCCAGCTTACACCCCAGCGTGTTTTCTGGGGACCATGGAACTCACTCTGAAGTGTGACAACTAGGGGACATCCTTCTCCCCGCTTCTGTGGGAGGAAGTGGGGGCAGCCAGGCTTCAGGGGCCTCCTGGCTCCCAGTGCAAACCTCCTTCCTGTCCTAAAGAGGTGGGAGGGTTCATGTTCCCTGGGATCAGCTCAAGGAGCAAACAGGCGTGGCCCCTCTAGGCACCAGCAAATTCAGGGTGAACTCTGGTGACCAGTGGTGCTGCCAAGTTCCTCCTGAGGCTGCACCTCAGTGAACAGCTGTGTTTCTGGGGACGGTTTCCCACAGAACTCAGTTCCCTCCCCTTATCTGCTCCTTTGCCAGCCCTGCATGGGCAGCACCACTGCAGTTATGATAAGTCTCCAAATAGACCCATTTTTGTACTTTCACCCGGGATTTTGAAGTAGATTCTTCTGATTTTTCTTCATAGATGAATATGTCACCTGCAAGTAGGGACACCTTGTATGTTGGTTCACATTTGAATGTCTCTATGTCTTTTTACTGTCTTATTGCTCTTGTTAACACGTCAAGGACAATGTTGAATAGAAGTGGTAAGAGTGGACCTTTTTCACTCTGTCCCCATCTGAGGGGAATCATGTAACTTCCCACAATCGAGTGTGACATTAGCTCCAGGAGTCCCATGATCAGAGTGAGGAAGGGTCCCTTTATCCCAAGTGCCCTAAGCGTTTTATCATGAATGATGCTGTGCTTTGTACACACTTTTCTGTATCAATTTTAATGACCATGTGACTTCTCTTCTTTACACAGTGGACTTGTTGGGTTAAATCGGATGATTTAAAAATGTTGAATAGCTTTGAATTGTTGGGATAATTCCTGCTTTGTCACGATGGAGTATGATTTTCTTATATTACTGGTAGGATTGGCTAATCTTCTGTTGAGGATTTTAGTAAATATGTTAACAAGAGATTTCAGTCTGTAGTTTACTCTTTCTTTGTACTGACTGCACAAGGAATGCTGGTCTCATAAGAATGTGTTTGGGAATGTGTTTATTCTCCTAATTAATTTCTGATATTGGTCATTTGTCTCCTTGCCAGTCTTGTTAGCATTGGGTTAGTTTTATTGATGTTTTCAAAGATTCAGCTGTTGGCATCATTGATTGTTTTCTATCATTTTTCTCTGTTGGTTTCATTAATCTCTGTTCACTTTTATTTTTCCTTCCTTCTGCTTGGTTTTAG